ACTGCTATACTGGTTTGCTACTAAATACATTAAAAAGTGCTATTTAATGGTCTATTAAAGTGCATTTATTTAGATTATGGTAGAAAATTACAACCAGGGCAACTATTTAAAACTTATATGAAAAATTTTCAATATCAATCTGAAAATGCAGAGTACACAGTTTTTAAAAATTATTTGTGAAGTATTTGTGCAAAATCATTTGAAAGACTATGATCTAGTCTTAAAACAAGAATTAGCCAATTACTATTTTTTTTTCGCCACCTCAGCCAATTACTATTTGGATGGAAGGTTCAATTTAAAAGATTAACAGTTTAATGTTAAAATTATATTGTGTGTGCCAAAGTTACAGCCAAATTCTAGGTAAAATTAATATAAGATGGAAGACAATAAAACTATGGTTTTTTTTTTTTTCATGGAAACTCAATTTTTCCAACTAGGAAAAAAAAATTAAAGTAAAAGCATTGGATCAAATATGTCAAGTATCCAAGCCTGTTTTCTCTTTCTGTTGGCACAACTGAACGTCATACACAAGGGTAACTTACAAAGAGTGGAGTTTTTAGCTGGTTCTGAGGACCGGGAAGTGCACAGGGAACAAGTGCTAAGGGCTTACTGTTGCATCACAACATGGCAAAACAACAATGTCAACCACCAGTGCCATCAGGCCCACCCTGATGTCTTTACCTAATCAGTTACACCCAAAGACCCAATCTTCCAAATACCATCAACAAAAAAATTTGGTAATGAAGTTTCCACATAGTTCACGGGGCATTCAACAATGACACCAAACAGACTAATGTTCTTAAACAAGCAGAAATTAAAACTCTTTAAAGACTTCCTGTCTCCGTTAAGTTAAAGGCAAAGTACTTACATGACCTCCGGATTTCCCACCTAGCCCTGCTTTGCCCTCGCCAGGAAGTGTGGGCTCAGCGGGCCCTGCTGCTAGCTCTTCCTCTTGCTGGCTGCACTCTGATGAGTTCATTCACTTTCATAAGGTTTTTGCTTCCATGCCTCTTTACTGCTTTATTCTAAACTAATGTTAAGGTTTGGATATGGAATTGTCCCCCAAAAAACTCATGTTTTGAAGCCTCGGTCCTGTGCAATGTTCAG